AATAGTGGGATTGACCGTCACATTATAACGCTCCCACAGCTGAAAGGGCGAGCATGTTTGATGTGACGGGGATTTGAACCCGCGACCCTCAGATTGCGAGTCGAGCGCCCTAACCACCTGGCCATGCCGGGCCTTGTAACACTAGATATCCTTGTTCGTTAAACTGACTATTAACCTTTGCCGATTCCTTTAATAACCGTTATTTTTGTCCACAATGTTTCACCTCGCTTCCCTAACGGACGGCCAAATACAATATGATATAATTTCAAAAACAAAAAACGTCAGATCTGTTTGTTTGTTGTATAATAAGTGCTTTTACAGAACTGCAAAGCTTTTTGTCAAAAGATCTAATCTATTAATATTATTTAAAATAATAGAAAGAAAAAATGACACCATAACATAGAAAAATAATATACTTACATTTCTTCGTTGGTAGACTTGTTGAAGGAGCCAATGTTGTGGTGTCTAATACTGGAGTTCCATTAAATTGTAAACTTTGTTCGTAACGTTTGATATCTACAACAGGTGCGCAGCAGACATGGTCCTCCTCGGAGCAACCAAATCCCGGGTAGATGACATTGTTTCCAAAACATGTAAACCGCAAAAATTTAGCAACACAGGGACCTGGGCATAAAGGTCTACCACCAGATACTGGATTATGTAAATGCCCTGTAGGTTGACCAGAATTTCCTTGGGAAATGTAAGGCTGATAGTCAAATTGTTGGCTTGAAGGTGGTCTTGAAAGTGGAGGTCTGTTAAAGTTTGGTATGGTTGGACGAGATTGTTGTGGCGGAGGATGAGAAAACTGAGAATGGTTAGGGCCCTGTACAACTGGTCGAGATGAAAACAACGGCTGTTCTGAGCTTTGATCACCCGAGGTAGAAGGACGAGTTGGGCGCTGATATTGATTCTGTATAACCGGAGGTGGTCGCTGGAGCAGTGGTAGGTTGAACAAGGAAGGTAAAACCTGATCTAGACTTGGCCCATCTTCATCTTTACGAACTATGAAACAGCAAATCGTGCCACTTGCACAGTCTGTTGTCTCCAGCAAAAGCTCCGCTGGTTTGTTACAGACTCCACTGAGGAAAGTAGGAATACACGTTCCTGGACATGGACCAATAGGGGGCGGGGTAGTAGTTGTGGTGAGTTGTGATGCAGAGATGCAACACTGGCCACTGTTATGACAGAAATACCCTGATACTACTTGGTCACATAAGAGACTAAATAACGGAGCTACACATGTACCTGGACATAGTGGTTGAGATGGGGTGGTGGTCTGTGGTCTTGTAATGGTGGGGGCTGAAGAAGATGTAGTTGTTAGGGAGCCGGGAGTAGTGTTACGATCATCCGAAGCACAGCAAGTTTTATCATCTGCACAAAAAGCATCTTTAATAATGTTTCCACAATAGCGAATGAACGTGCGATCTATGCACAATCCCGGACAAGACACATTTGGTTTTATCATTATTTTGAGTGGTGTAACTGTTGATGAGTGAATGATAACTTCTGTTGGCTTTTTTATGCTAGTGCTACTTGCTGTTGAAGTACTATAAGCTGTTGACGATATTTTCGAGGACGAGGGCGACTGCGTAGTATATTCTTCAAGCAGATAATCTGAAGGGGGCGTTATTGTAGCAATGTGCAAACGAGAAACATTAGATTCAAGAATGGCAATTTCCGATTCAACCTCAAGAGGGGGCGATATTTCCACTGGAGTACCTAGATTAAAGTTTTTAGGGACACAGCACCGAAGATATGGGGCGCCACAATCGCTCTTCTCCAGAACACGGTCACAGAAAAATGACGTCAGAGCGTGTATACATTCCCCTGGACAGCCAATAGAGTTAGATGAGCTAGTCAACGTGTTGATGATACCTTTTGAAAAAATAAGAGGAAAAAAATTATAATCGACTCAAAAGCACAACATATTTACGTTAAAATAATTAAAGTCAAACAAAAAGTCATTTTTCTTTATTCAAAATTGGCTTCGCCAAATGTTGAATATCAGTTGCAACTAGCGGGGGGGGGGGGGCATTTGACCCGAGCCTCACATTTATACACTTGATATTTCTTGCACTTGTTAAGTTTCG